ATATGTATATTCAACATTGTCTCATTTGCTTACACGCAAGTCAATGTGAAACCGGCTTTGCTGTTTTAAGAAAAAATTTGAACAAAAATTTAATTTTCTTTGATTAATGTTTTTTAAGCTTCGGCTGCTTTCAACAGTATAGACCCTGCGGGACCTTGGGCTCAAGTGAGACACCGAAAACGAATGATTCATTTCTTTTATACTAAGTCAAAATTTATAGTCGGGATAGATGAGTAAAAATGTCACAAGTACTAGAAAAAATAGGTTAACAAGGTTAGAGACTGTAGAAATAGTATGTTCCTTTTTTTGTGAAAATGGTAGTAGAAAAGTAGGGAAATATCGGTGAAATTGAGAGCTTTGAATTTAGAAATCAACTTCAGCGTGGCAACTGAAGTTCTACATCGCGTTTTTTTTATTAACTTTATCCAGTATTAATTTAAATTTTTAAATGCAGCTTTTTTGTGAACCACAGTCCATTCGGTGTTAAATAAATATCGCACCTATTGAGACCATTGTAGGAATTGCATTAAATTATTCCGCGACGAATTTTCAATGATGGAAAGAGGAGCAAGTGAGATCACTTTATCATATTTTGAAGAATAGAGCGAGACAAGCAGACTGTAAGAGAGGAAAGCTTACCCCGATGAGAACTAGAATGATAATTAAAATGGAAACCCTTCATTCCTATCGCTATAAAAGTTCATTTTGGATTCATTCTATGCGCTCTGGAATAAAAGTGGTTCGTAAAGCAATCCCCACCAAAACATATCACGCGGGATAAGCTTTTTAAAGCTTTTGTAGAAAGAGATAAACTATAGACATTTCTTGTGGAAAATGTTTTGAACATTTTTCTTGCGATCACTTGCGTTAGTAAATGGTAAGAGTCTGCCAGGAAATAGATGGAACGGCCTCACACTAGCGTTATAGGTATATTGAACTTGATGTTTTGCATAGTTTTAGCACTTGCAAGATTATGAAGGTTTTTGGCTAGAGGAAATAGCGGAAAAAATTTACAAATTTTTCCTTTCGAAAACATTTGGGTTCCCAATCAAACTACCTTAAGTAAACCAGACTTGCTTTTTGTTTGGAAGACAAAGGCGTTTAATGCCGGATTTCCACTAGGCATTAAATGGCAAAAATTATAAATGACAAAGTTGGGCATTAAAAAATAATCGTGTGATTACGTTAAAAAATAGTCATTAAGTTCATTTCCACATGGAATTTTTTTAAATGGCATACATTTTTTTCTAATTTCAATGCTTTGTAGAAATTCGGTACAAGTTGAATATTTCAAGTTTTTTCTTCAGTCTATTTACAGATTGGTGGTCTCACGATTGCTTCCGTCAAGGCTGCTTCGTGCGCCTCTAACGGTGAATGTGGTAAAACGCATACAAATTCTGAAACAATATTGCCACCGAAAAGATTCTCGAATATAAAGCAAAATTTCGCCTTTGATACTTATTTAGAAGAAACTATTTGATAACCAAGTGAGGATATTTAAGTTTAATATTTAGCAAAGATTTCACCTAAAATCGATAAACATTTGTGCAGCCTAGTTAAAAGTAAGTTGAACAAAAATCTTTTATTCGTTTTAATATTTTGAATAGAATTTCGGGTTCTAGCAAGCCCTCTAGAAAAAATTTAATTCACATAAAATTGACAGCAAAATCGCTCAGAATAAATGGCGGTTTTTGTTTTGGTCAGAATAATTAAGTATTAGATGAATCGATACTGCCAGTACAAGTATGTAGAGGTCTTTTTGTACTCGCAAGCCAACGTATACGAACCTACAAGTACTCAAGCAAGCAGCCGTAGCTCTAAAATGTAATATTTAATGCCAATTAGCAGATTATTTTATAACAGCGTAATTTCTTTCATATACATACATACCTACATACATTCATATCGCTAGCTTAGAGTGAAAAGTTGCTAAGCCATTTTAAAGTTTTTAAAATTTTGATTTTACAGGAGTGGAAAAAACTTCTTATAAATGGCCAGTTTCTTCAAGTATTACGAAAAACTTTGAATACAAAATACAGGGATTCGATCTTTATTAAAAGATTTCATACTATTTTGGACTTAAAAAATCGTCCATTGATTGAATACAAAAAAGCATAAACAAAACAAGCACCTTTGTCCTTTTCGAAAAATGCATTTTTAATTTCTATAGCCTCCTATATCTAAATATGAGTTTTCATAAGAAGTGCACTTAGCAACTTTTCACACTAAGCCAGCGATATGTATGTTTGAACTGACATACTATTCTTCGTAAAATTCGCCTTAAAATATCTTTGAAATTGTATGAACGTTCAAATTGTAATTAACTCACTAAAAATTTAACATGGCAGGACTTAAAAGTGTGTTAATCTTGACTCACTACTTGAAGTGTTATATAACTTATCGTGTTTGTTATTTGGAATTCCTAGAATAATACTTGTTCTCACGTTGCAAATGTATGTTTTGTAAACAAGGGTAAAAAATACTACAATAAATTGCAAACATTTTTGTATTTGCTTCGCAATTTTTTTTTACTTTTCTTTGGCTGGTGGTGACTACATAAAATAGATAATATAAAATATTATAAATAAATAAATTTCACTAAATATAAATATCTTTGTTTTGGTGTAATTTTTCGAATTTTCATTTCATCTCAATACCTTGACTTTAATAAAAAAAAAAAATACTATTGGTAAATATGCAATACTACAGTCTACTACAGAATCCACAATTTGCCCGGGTGGGTTAATACTCGTACTTTGTTTGGTTTTTTGTTTTGTTAAAATCGCTTGCTCGTTTAAACTTTTAAATACTAGATATACTGACCTTTTTTTTTTAACAGTTACTTGTAAAGTCATTATTATTACATTTTTATATTCATTTTATGTTATATCATTTAGTGATTTCTTTGGTGTTTCGCTGGCTTCGAAGATTTACAACTACGTTTCATAAATACATACGTTCATAAATTCTATTTAGCTACGAGGAAAAATTTAAAGATATCTTAATTTTTTGTTTGGTATAAGATTAAAATGTACTAGTTATACTTGTACATGTGTCAATGTGTTGATTGGTATAGTGTGAATAAAACTTATGGCGTTCTCTTTTCTACCGAAAAATGTTGCCTTCTTAGTGCCTTCTTCGCACTAAATACTAAGGAGAGGGCAATGAAAAGGCAACACTTTTTGTAGGAAAGAAAACGCTATTAATGTCATTATTATGGTAGGCAACTCAACCATAGCTTTGTGAAAAATTTACAATAATTCGTAAGGTTTCATATAGCCTCATGCCGTAAAGTTTTTAACGATTAAAAATTAATAACAATTTTTAGAGAGCTCGAAACCACAATAAACTATTTTTGATAGTGAAAAAATATTTAATCCCTGAAACTATTTTCAACCGATCAAAAGTTTACGACAAGCAGCAATACAACACTTACGCCACCTTTGTGAATTGTCCAATTAAAGGGCTTTTCAATTGGCGCGCGTAGATTCCTGCGCCCTCTGGCGATGATGTAGCTGTCGTGAAACCTGTCTAACCTATGATTTATTTTTCAGTCACTGTTGCCAAATTCTCATTGCAAGTGACAAGATAAAGCAGCACGTCCAACTGGTGCAATTTTATTATCACAACAAGTATTCGTTAGTGAAAACGTTGCGAGCGTTGCGCTCATTCTAAGGTACAGTCGGCAATGGAGAGTGGCCCCCAATTTTTAATGGCTGAATTTGAGACGACCGGTTTGGTTAAAAGAACGTCAGAATGGCCGAAAACATCGCCTTGGTTCCACTTCGCGCAGAAAAACTCGTCCTTTCACAGATTTGAACTTCGCGAGTTTTGCGTCAGGACTTGGGCTTATACCCGTACAAGATCGAATTGACCCAGGTGCTGAAAGTTGTTGACTAGACTGCGGATTTTTAAGTAGACAAATAAGCCCAAACAACCGCAATCTATTGATGACAATAGACAATGCAGTGTGTTGACAGACTGGGCTTCGGAGTGATAAGAAGACGATCCCGATTTTGGCAGCAATTTCATTTTTCGAAATCGCCGTCGTGTAGCGGTGCTAATACACACGAAGTTGACCAGGTGTTACTGACACCGCTAGACTTTTTCTCGGGGAGTTTCTCAAGTTTCGCAGGTCTAACCTAGGCCATCGCTCAAATGCAGCAGAGTGATTGTAATTAGACCATTCAGATCCATGCCAGCATAAGAAGCCGTGGCGGATATTTTAACTATGTTATATTTCATAAATATCTATATTTATGGGTCAAAATATTTCAAATCGGACTGTCGACCTGATCGAAAATGTGTTTTGTAACCATTTGTTTTATAAATTCATATCTTGGAAAAAGTGAATTTCAGCATGCCTACACTAACTTATAATATGGTTCATTAATCACACATTCTTACATACGCTTAAAAAACTATATACATAAAATGGAAATGTTGAACAATTTTGGAAAAAAGTTAAAATTGTTGAATTAAATATTAGGTAATATTCAAATATTCACGCACTTTTTTTTTGCATAGGAGCTTAGTTATCTGAACCGTAGCCCTAAAAAAGAAAAAAAATCCTTCGTTCATGCGTCCATGCGTTTTTGCAGAAGTTATTACCGTTCGAATAAAAAAAGTTGCTTGGGAAAAAATGGATTGAAAATTTTCAAATAAATTGTAAAATTCTAATAAAATTGAAATGGGCTGAAATTTTTTATAAATAGTTTCCCTATTATCTTCGGGTTTTTATTAAGCGTATGATTTCGTCAAATCTTCTATCTAAATTTTTTATTAATGTCAACGGTTTTCAAGGCCCTGTAAATACTAAAATAAAAAATGCCTAAAAATGTTCGAAAAAAATCTATTAAACAAAATTCAATTTGTAAATAATTAATTATTAAAATTTAAATTTTCAAGAGTTTTTTTTTGCATGCGAGCTTAAATAACTGAACCATAATAAAAATAAAGAAAAAAATCCATGCCTTTTTGCAGAAGATATTACCGTTCGAATTCTCCATTTTAAGGACGAAACTAAAAATATCTATATTTTAAAATAGACCAAAAAAACAATTGCAAAACAAATTTTCGACCGGCTGTCTGATTATAGCGCTTCAATCAAGTTTATGCGGCATAGTTTTAGGCGCAGTAGTAACTTAAATAGTCATGGAATAACATTTGTCTTTGATGTAAGGAACAGGGCCGTTAGTCTGCCGATTTTTGGTGTTTAAAAGATTAAAACCATTATGTAAGTGTGTTGGACAATTTTTATGTTTTCAAGCTAAAGCCCAATGATAACCTCTGTTCTACAGAATTAATCTTCAGTTTTGTTGTAGCACTCAAAAGTATGCAACAATTTATATTTATTTAATGTTTAAATGTGACCTGACTCGAAGATTCGTCGTTTCTTCACAACATTCACGACAATCGCGTAGAAGTATGCTGGGCATAGAGTTGCCAACCGTAATAGTGAGACACTTTGTACCTACATAAGCTTGAAGAATATAGAGTGGAAATAAATACTATTTTAAGTGAATTCGGTCTAATGGAAGAACTGTGCCCCTGTGTGTGTGTCTGTGTGTGTGTGTGTGTGTGTGTGTGGGTAAGTGGCTCGAGGAGCGAGTGATTAATTTTAACTATTTATTTAACCACATAAAGAATTGATCACATATGTACATAATGACTGAAGAAACGATCTTTTATATCTGCGTGTTTTATTTTACAATGGGCTTTCATATTGTCTCGACGCGTAAACTTTTGCCCGCAGACAGGACACTCATGACTCTGAGGCCGATGTATGTTGGCGTGATGCCAACGGTTCGACACTATCTTATTGCAGCTGACGCAGCGATACAGCGTGGGCAGCGTGCCGGACAATTGCACGAAAAGCGTTGAGTAGTCGATGTTGTGATCGCGACGATTAGCAGCAGCAGCTGCTGCTGCCGCCGCCGCCGCCGCTGCTGCTGCTGCTGCTGCTGATGCACCCGCCGAAGTCGGGGTGTTGGTGGCGTTGGGTGAGTTGGCATTCGCCGCTGCAACGAGTTGCAGTTGTACGTTGTTGTTGTGGCTAGGCGGCGTGCTAGCACTTCGTGGCGTGGTGTGGAAGTGAGGCGCATGTTGTTGTTGCGGTTGTTGTAGTTGTTGGTGCTGTTGCAAATGATGGTGTTGCACTAAGTTGGCAGCTGCTGCCAAAGTTTGCTGCTGCTGTTGGTGTTGGTGGTGGTTATGTTGTTGCTGTTGATAGTTGGCTGCAGCAGCATGTTGCTGCTGTGCATATGCCAATTGTTGTTGGTGATGAAGCGTTGCGGATGCTGTTGAGGCATTCGAGGAGGCTGGTGAGAGCGCAGCAACGGCCGCTGCAGCAGCGGCTTCTACGGAGCAAAGCGCATCCAGAGCGCTGCTGCAGCGCCCAAGATTTATAACGGTTTGTGGATGCAAGTGACGGTGTGCGACTGCCAATTGTGCGGGTGCCGCTGGCAGGGGTGGGGGTGGAGGCGCCGCAGCTGCCGTTGTGAGACTAATGACATCATTCAACGGACCGTTGCGCGCGTGCAACATTATCTCAGCAGCATGTTGTTGGTGATAGTGTTGCGCATGCAAATGTTGCTGTTGCAACTGTGGGTGTGCCTGTTGAGTGCGCATTGCCGCCTCTTGCTTGCACCGCTTGTAGTGACATTTATAGTCGCTGTCCAAAATTTTATGATCGCAATCGCTATGGCAATCATTGTCGTAGTCATAATCCGCTTCGCCGCATAGATCGTGCGAACGATTTTCGTTAACCGAATTAATGTTATCGGCAACATGATGCCGATTTTCCAAGGCCCCAGTTGCTCGAATCGCATGCCTTCGATTGTGATGGTACACAATGCGGCGGCGTACGTCAGCACCAGCCAGTACGTCATCCTCACCATCATCGGTATCTATATAATCATCATTGGCATTGCCGACATCGCCGCCTTCTCTGTCATTAACAACATCATCGTTTGCATTATCGTCATCGCGCATGTCTCTGCCACCAACACCATCATCATCATCATCATCATCACCTGTAATCACAGTTTTGGAATTATGCAGTCACCTAACACTTTCAGAGTTGAGGATTTTGACTGAATTAAACTTTTGGTGGAATTTGAAGTAGTATTTAGCACCTACTCGCGGGTACTTTTTAATTTGGAATAATTAGCTTGCGCTAGCAGTTTTGATTGTGGATGTAAGGTAAGAAACTACAAACAAACAAACGTACGATCGGCATGGAATATAATTGAATACGTGGATAGGTGAAGCGCAAACTGAACGCAAAACGCATTGAGGAGGGATCGAATATGGGTTGTGAACTTAAGTAGCGAACTCAAAGGAATGAAGGAAAATCGGCGGTGATGTAATTTGTAAAAGGAGAAAATGGTATTTGTGCTAAGTCAATTGAAAATACGGTAAACTCAAAGCATCTGAACGATTTCAAAAAGCTAGAAGCATTTTAACAAAAAAAAAAGCGCGTACGAAAATCTCTACATACATAAGTAAATGCTGTGGCTGGGGATATTTGTTTAAAGAAAGTAGTATACTTAAATAAAAATATACAAATATTGTATTTAAATTTCAATCTTAGGAATCTGAGAACCAAACACAATTCACTAGCAAAGCTATACAGATGAAGAGCGCCAGCATTTCAAATGGTTTACGAGCTCTCAGAAATGACTCATGCATTTACAGCGACAACAGCAACTGTGAAAAAAAAAATCCAGAAAAGGTACACTATACATAGAAGAAGTTTAAAGAGCACTTAAGTTCAACATCATATTGCGGATGCATTCACAACAGGCAACTATGTATTCGGGTACTAGTATTTCCCAAGACAAAGCATCAAACCGAAACTAGCAATTTAAGATGACACTTTAGCAGTGAGGACACCAGCAAAATGAAGCTGGCGAATAGCGGAGAATATTTTCCTTGCTTGCGCCGAGACAGTTTTGTGAGGCCACGAAACATAGGATCCGTTTGCCAAATGTATGATTAACATTGTCTTTAATCGGCGGTTGTTTAGCCGTTCGATAGCTTGAACTGACAGCCGTTTTTACTAGTTGCGATCTCTTATGAGCCCAGAATAGTCAGAAGTTGTCAGATTTTACTGAAAATCGATCCCGTACTCGGTTCTCTGACTACTGAGAGGACAACAAGGAGAGTAAATAAGGTCAGGAGTAAATAAGGTACGATCATTCGCTGTGTGTTTGACAACCAAATTGTAAACAAAAGAAAAGTTCACTCTGCTAATGCACGTTGAAAAGTATTTAATTACTTGTTTAAGTGGATTCTAGTTAATTTGAAAGTATTTTTGGTTATTTACATGTGTGAGCTGAGTGTGTTTACATAAAAAATGAGCAAATTTTTAAAACCAAAATTTGGAGCTTATGTTGAAGTTTTCAGAAGTCACCATTTTCATACTAGAAAGCGATTCCGTACTTTTCAGTGTTACTCTCTCGCTCTGAGCGAGTTTTTTAGTTTTTGACAGTTTTACTAGTTTTAGTCCGACGAATATGGGATTGGACCTACTAACTTTGACGTTGGGTGAGTTTGAACAATGCGAATATTTCTGTCTGAACAAAGTTAAAAATTTGCATATTTTTGAGTATTTTTTTTTTTTTATAAACGAAAAATGGGTATCTAAATTTTACTGCCAGACAAGAAGACTAGAGGTGGTAGTTTTACAAAAAATTTGATTATACACTCTGGGCCACACTAATCAATAATTAATTGAAACTTCTTCTAATTAAGTTTAAACAGAAATTCAGTGAACGGCCTTTATAGACTGACAACTTGAAAATATCTCTGAGAATGATAAGGGGCCTCCGCACACTGGACTGTTCGGGCGGCCAAGATCCATTTTTATATGGGTATGAGGGGAAGAGTGGACGAGTTAACCGCGAAAATCACGAATTGACACTGGACTGCCACACACACACACATGGACAACACCCAGCCCGCAAAAAATTCGAAAATGGATCCGAAAACGGAAAGAAGAGTGGATGAAATGTGGATTTTCGCCCATTTATCGATTCCCTTTTCGCAGATGAGTGTTGGATTACTCAAAGACTGAGCAATCTAGTGTGCGGAGGCCCAATGTAACTCGACTTCGCGATATATGATTAGATGATAAATATTAATCCATTTATTATGATCATTCTTTTTTTGCAAAGATTAAGCAATTTGGTACGTACGAATTTGGTTGAAACTTATTGTTGACAACACGTCAGACTTTTCACATAACCTCATAGTCGATTTATTAATTGTTGAAAAGGTTAATTTTTAAGTGAATGATTATTGACAATTAGCCCAGGGTTCGGATTCGTATTTAAAAAGGTTCAGCTAAAGATTTTTATTTGTCCTGGCTTTTAAGCCTTTTTGATTATCATCCCCAAACAAACATAGTATATAGTAGTACTTCAGGATTTAGTTCGAAAAAAGTCATATCTAGTCAGCAAGATTTTATTGACGATATTATAAATGTTTGTAGATGCACGACTTCGGATCGAATTCTGGAAAATTGGACAAAAAAAAAGCATTGTCTTATCCCTGCTTAAATTTTTTGTTTGAAATCCATCCTTTATGTACAGAAATTTGTTTGAAAAAATTTCAAGTACTCTAGATAGAAACAAATCCTATAAGTAGGACTTGAATCTGAGGCAAAGCAATTATATTCCATGTTCAAGCGAAATTGTTTAGACTTGTATCTAAAGTCCAATCACATATTTAAGTATCTTTGACATTGACGATATCAGCCCTCAACGTAGTGCATACTTATACATACATACATATGGATTCACATAGGTCTGTAAACGGCTTAATAGCAGTAAGTATATATGTATGTATGCATGTATGAATGTATGAAAAAAAAAACACAACTATTTGTTTATAAGGAGGTCTAGACTAAAATAACTAATAATGCAAACAACAACAATTAGCTACAATTGGTATAATAATTTAATATGTAATAAGTTATGTATATATGTATATTAAAGATCGATATTAACTAAGTATGTATATAAATATATGTATGCATTTTTTGAGTATTATAGTAGTTTTTTTTTTATTTGATGGTCGTATATGTATTTTCAAGTCAGCATATTTATTAACTAGAGCAATAAATTCAAGCTAGGAAGTTTTGTTCTAAAAAAATTTTACTGAAAAAAATAAGCTAAACTAAGCATTTAATTAAAGTTTCATTTAAGAAACAAAAACAAGTCGGCTCAATAGAAGGTTGAACAAAAAACAAAGTAACGATTCGAAAATAATTTGTGGCATTTAAGTACTAAGTGTAACGCAGTCTGAGGGTAAGGCACAAATTGTGGTATGTAACGAGCAGGTCATGTGTAAGTGAATTCAACTAAATAATTCAAAATCAGAGCATCGTTTGTAAGTGAGGAAACGAAAATGTGCATGATATTAAGAAACTTATATATTCTAACCGCAAATGACGATATAATAAATAAAATTATAAAGAAAATAAAAACAGTAACTTTCTATAACATGAACCTCTTTGGGAACGGAAAAATAATAAAAATTGTTCATCGTAATTTTGTATCCACCAAAGGTTTCACATAACTTCCTTCAACTTCTCAATAAAAAAAAAAAAAATTGTAATCAAATGGTACTCCAAATTGAGTATTCGCATTTTTCGTATATAATGTTTTGCCTATGATTGGCTTCCTATATACGCAATATTTAATTAGAGAATCGATAAAATTTTTTTTTTCAAAAAGCAATTCGCCCACACTAAGCGCACACGCAATCACCGTAGGTAATATCACTTCTGAATTCAAGGAACAGACTCATTCCAATTGAACAATTCGTCGGTGATTGGATATTTTGTAATGCATTCCTTCTTCAATTTTCGTCGTTTAGAATGAGAATGCCATTTAGGTAACACAAAAACGTAAAATAATAAATCAAGTTATAATTTTAATTAATAGAAGCGTTCACAATAGCGCGCAATTATACAATTTATTTAATGTCTTTGTTCCATTTTTATTGCTCGAGTAAAATTACATATTGGCTAACTATGTAACTGTAGTGTGAATACCGCTTTATATTTTATAATTGCAAACTAAATTTTTTATGTTTAAAATTTGATCATAATTAATCCACGCAACTTATTTTATAGCAAAAAAAAAAAACGTCTGTAGCCCATGGAAATATTTTTTCTAAAAAAAAAATCTCTCCAGCCTCCTTAGGAGTGCGCTATTTTAGTTTTTTGTTTTAACACCGAAATATACACAAAAATACATACTTAAAATTTCATTAAAAAAATTAAAACGCTTTTAAAGTACATAAGTAAAAAATAAGAAATTAAAATCTAACTAGGTAAAGTAAACCTTATTTTAAAAGAGAGAAATAGCGATAGAGAGGAGTGCGTGAGCGGTACAAAAATATTGATAATTTCAGGCACACGAACAACAACAACATTGGTGTTAGTACTTCTGAAAAGTAAATTACTTTATCTTTCTATTACATTTAATTAGACACACACTTAAATTTAATTAACAACATTGAATACACTCTTCTTGGATTAGGGAATCTTCTCAAACGAGAAATGTTAAGAATTCTAAAATACATTTCATACAGTGATGGAAAAGTAGGAACAATTTTGGTACCTTTTCACCGATCTTATGATTTGAAGATACTCTCGATAAAATTACAGCTTTTGGTTATATTCAAAAGGGAGCACAATTGAACTTTCGCGGAAAACTACATTTTTTTATTATAATCATCTATCGGCTTGGGCGCGAATCTAAAAACGTTGCTCTTTCGAAGTCTCGCCAATTAGAGAAAATTAGAAATTCACCTCATCCATAAGATATGGTAGATATGTATGTACATACTACCTGTTTTCTAACAGCTTGCCGTATTTGTTTGTTAGAATTATACTACGATCGTGACAGATTTACCACGATTTCCAAGAAAATGAAGTTATTAATATAAGGCATACGGCATATGCGGACGCAAAAAATAGCTACTTTGAGGCGGATTGACCTTTTATAAAAAAAAAACTGTA